TTATTAATTGTTATTAATTTTTACTAATTATTATTCATATTGCAATCATTGTTACTAATAATTCATTAAATAAAAGGTATTAGTTGCGCTGGGGTTTGAATTTTTCTAGAAGAAAAAGAAACTGAAAACTAAAAAATAGAAAAATTCTGATGTACGTGAACAGAAACGTATTGACGCTATTCACGGTATAACAGTGTTATATTGTGCGTTGGCGATAAATGCAAACAATAATGTTATAATGAAATGTTTTATAGAATAAGGAAGAAAAGCAGTAGTAAGTGATTTTTTACTGAGAAAAATGAGCAAAATCTCGCACAACATTTCATTGTAATATTATTGCTTGCATTTACCGCCATCACACAATATATTGCTGTTATACCGTGAATGGCGTCAGCGCGTTTCTGTTTAAGTATATCATTTCTGGTCTTTTCATGGCACTTATTTTAGTCCCTTTGATTTGTCATTGGTAATTATTTTATCGAATTTCATGTTTTTTCGTTTGTCGGTTCATATTTTATTCTTATCAGGGCATGAATTACACTATTATTTAGATCAAGCTTAATTTTAGTTTTTAATTTAACTGTAAAATGATGGAAAATTTAATGCAAAAAGTTAATGATTTTGCAGTTTACTAATTTGATGGCTGCACTCAAAGGATAAGTGAAAAAGACGATGAATTCAATTTGGCTGAAATTCATTCTTCTGATTGTGATGTTTCTTGTTACTTTTGGTGCGGGGATGGTACCAGTAAAAGTATGCTACTTTGTTTATACAGCTTTTTCATTTATCTAAATTTGTATGACTACATCAGAATAAAAATGGCGGGTCAGATGTCATCTGTTATCTTATAACTAAATACTTTAGTAAGTTTCAGTTGTTCAGGATGCAAGGAGTAGTAAGCAATACTGACAAACTTAGCGATGTTGACAGTCGTTTGATAAGGAATGTAGTTTTGATATCCCAAAAAATTTTAAATCAAAGACTGGGTAAGTTTGAAGTTAAAAAAAATGAATTCATAAAGCTAATAAGCTAGACAATTGGACAGTGTTACTGTAACCCTGAGACAGTTTTAAAAATTGGACAAATTCCCAGTTTTGAACTGTATTCTTGCGGAAATTTGAGAAGATTTCAGGTGCTAAAAATTCTCCGGAAGCATGCAGCCTCAGCGTCTACATCCGCGAAACAGCGAAACGTCTCCTTAGTGCTATGTTTACTTACTTGTTTTTCTGGTGGTGTTTTCTTTGCCACGTGTTTTTTGCATCTTTTCCCAGAGCTCACTGAACGTCTTCATGAGGTTATTTCGTTTGAAATTGCATTTTTCATTAAGGAAAATAAATTAGATTATTTTCCAGTTATTGGAAAACATGGTTACATGGTTTAATAACTATTAAGTTGGAAATTAATTTCATTTTTCCGAGCTCGGTTTTTCCTTGATAATTTTTAGTTCGCCTGGTAGCTGTCTTTCTGATGCCTGTTTTTAAATTCGCACGTTTTATTCCGTTAATTAATATCATTTGATATGATACTCTAGCCTACTAAATTGTTACTGGATAATTTTGCCCGGACAACTTCTTAGAGGGACAAGCGGTGTTTAGTCGCATGAAGTTGAGCAATAACAGGTCTGTGATACCCTTAGATGTCCAGGGCTGCACGCGCGTTACACTGGAGGAATCAGCGTGCTGTAACCATTACCGAATGGTACTGGTACCCCCTTTGACCTATAAAGTAAGCACTAGCTCGAAATTTCTTGAGTTTGATAGTCATTATTATTTGTTTAGATGGAAAAAGAATATGAGTTTTCCGTGTCATATCCTCTGGCTGAATTATTATCGTGCATAGGATTTTTCCTTCTATTTTTTGTGGAAGAAGTCATTTTGCTTCTTTTACCCGGTACTGGCCATTTGCATGGTCCGACAGGTGCTCAGATTGCTGAAAGTTTCTATGAACGGTGAGTTAAATTAATAATAAGAATGATTCTCACACACTTTAACAGACTGTTTGAAAGTGTACTAACTGCTTAGGTGGAGCATCGCGCCATAAAGATGCCGTAGTCTCCCTAATTTGATGAAGTAACGGTTTTGAATGTTTGCACTTATCGGTTGTTCTGTGGATATCATGCCTATATTTCACAGAATTTTCATGCCTATATTTCACAGAACAGGATTTATTGAAGTAGCGAATGTAATCGATTACAGAAATCAAAATATATGAAATATGTCTGTTGCTGTCTGGAAAGATTAAATTTGCGGATCATGAATAAACTGGTTCGCATAGTTCAAATATTACGATATATTTCATATGAATAATATTTCAAGTCTTAATCATATAATGGGATAAATTGGAGTATTTTGCCAAATAAAAAAAATTGAGTCTAAGTTAATAATTTTGTTAAAATAAAGAACATGAAGCATAAGTACATGAGTTACACGTGAAACAAGGATGTATGCGGTTCAATTGTTGCATGAATGATTTGTGCTTAGTTGGAAAAGAATTATTTTAATTCGTTATTTTAGATTTTTGAAAATTTATAAGTACAGATGAAGTTGAACATAGAATTGTGTAGGAAAGTGATCAGCAGAAATGCAATTTAAACGGGCGTTAGATGATGCTGTACAAATCGGGAGGTGTAATTAATTCTACAAAACATTGGGGCATAATGAATGACGAGAACGAGAGATAAATTATGCTGAAAAAAATATGAAGTGTTTAACTGATTTACTGAATGTAGAATGGTCTGTAGGTGAGAGACGGGTGGCAAGCATAGAGGCAAAGCTCATAACATATGGTAGAAAACCTCCAGATCAAATACTAAGCGCAAAGTCTCAAACCTAGCAGTGATTTCTGTCACTGTATCTTTTTCGATATGATTACATATGGGTATGAAAAAGGCTTTTTAATGCTTTTGAATGTCGCTGGATATCACATGGATTGTGATATTATCTATATCGCTAATGAACTGTGATAAGGAGTTGGTCCATTTGTTGTTCTTACAGTTTTCCACTTTATTATTTTATTTCAAAATATCGAAGCTTTAGAAATCATAATGCCGATCACTGTTGTCATGAAAGCGTTAACGCCATTGCTCCTTCGAAGACTTGTTTATCATGTGGTCCTAAAGGTAGGTCCTAAAGGTTCTAAAGCTTCACAGTTTCTTGCAGTCTAGAGATCACTTATTCATCAATCCATTAGTTATTCATTTTTATGCTCTAGGCTGGAAATAAACTTGTTTACGTTAC